CTGACTGGTTCTGCTGAGATGAGAGTAAGTCCTTGGCGGGCACAGATGGTTTGCCTCTGGCGAAAAGCCTAGAGATTGGAGCTCTCACCCACCCAGCAGCACCGCAGCAGAAAGAGCTGGTGTTCCATTTCCGGTGCTTTCTAAGCGAGGAAAACACCATGACCCGATGGAGCATAGCTCTCCTCTGCTTCCGGCACACGGGGTTGCCAGGAACTGGCGCCGATGAGAGTGCAGTGGGTTTGCTTTTCCGGTGTGATGTCCCGCGCGCGTGGCTTGGGTTGACTATTGACCCTTGAAGAGCCTCCTCTTTCTCCTTTCTCCTTTCTCCCAGGGCGAGCTGCAATCTTGTCCACTGGCTTTGCATCTGCTCTGTGCTCACCACCAACAAAAATCTCAGAACGCTTCAACTCATGGAGAGCACCTTCGACGAGTCAGCCTGTGTGGCTTTGTGTAAACAGCTGAGAGACCCCAAGTGTCAAGTTCAAAATCTCGAGTAAGTTGGGGATCAATGCGGGCTGAGGGTACCCTAGACACAGCAAGTTAGCCTGAGCTTTCAGGCAAGTCCAATGCCCACTGAAGCGTTCCAACCGAGAGCAGACTTCCTCAGTCTCCACGTTACTTGAGCGTTCTTGGCTGAAGCAGCATCCCTGGCCTCTCCACACCAGATGCCCTTGGAGACCCCCACCATTGTGACAGTCAGAAGGCTTCCAGACATCGTCAGATGTCTCCTGGAGGGCATCTCTTGCCCATTCTGGAGCCATTGTTCTGCAGTGGCCCACGAGAGGGAGGTGTGCACGCCGTGAAGCCTTACCTCTTTATAGGGCATTCCTAGGGGTGGGTTGGGGGAGAGGCAGTGTTGCCCACATGAAAGAAAGAGAGAAGGGTATGAAATCGCATCCTTTCTCTGATACTCATGCACCCTCCCTGGAGAGGCAGGCTCGCCCGGGGGGAGAGGCATTGAGCCCAGTGGGCTGGTAAACCATGCCTTCATCACAGGATAGAGGGACGGGGATGTGACAAGTGCGTGACTCTCGTAGGTGCTTTGGACGAAACTGATCCCAACCTGACTTTGTCGTTGCAGAGTGCACGCGGTCTCCTTCTCGGGCAAGAACTGGATTTTCTTTGAGGCTTTCCCCAATAACCTGCATCTAACGTACGCGGACATCCGCAACGTACAAACGAGCCAGGGTGACATCCAGTTGCTCAGCAACGCTCTGAGGGAACCACTGAGCAAGCTGGAAGATCTCCTGTAAGTCTCTGATTTCTCACTCCGGGGTCGGATTCAGGAGAGAGCTGTGTGCTTTTCCTTAAGATTCCTAAGTCGGTACACCCACGTTAGAAAGCAACTGGTCTGTTCTCAGCTGTCCTGTGGTGTCGTCCAGATGTTCCGCTCCCAGGTGTCCACTCGGGTTGCTGCTAGGTGCCCTTGGTGGGTTCCAAGTCGTAGTGGCTCAAGTCCAACAAAACGATCCACTACCCGAGCCTGCACCGTCTCCACGGTGATTCTGCGTGCGCCTATTGCTGCGGCCGTCTTGTTAGAGGTCGTCCTCTTGTTTGGCTTTTTCTTGCTGCCCCTCTACGTCAAGCACGATGCCCTTCTCCAGGGTCTGGTCTCCCCGATAACGTGTCCAAAGTAGGGGCGACAAAGTCTCGCCACCCTTGCCGCTGAGGAGCGGGCTGTACTTCTTCCAAGGCAGACATGTCTGTTCTTCGGCCGACTGCGCTACTTGCGGTAGAAAGTGTGCTCAAGTCGCACATTGAGGTTTGCACAGAACCCACATCGCTGTGGAGGTGCCAAATGAATTAGAATGACTCACGATGGCCTCATGAGTGTCGGAGGAACCGT